TTATCCGTAGCCCATCTTCCGGCCGGATAATACGAATGGTCTAAGGTCATCCGGATATCTGGAAAAACTACTTAGGAAAACTTAACGCGCAAACCGTGAAGAACGCCATCCCCCTCCCTCGAGGTGATGATCTCCTTTGAGAGATTGGGCGGCGCCACATACTTCTCGAAGTTGGACTTGAGGTCTGGTTACCACCAGATTGAAATCCAGCCACAAGATCAATACAAGACCGCCTTCAAAAACACAACATGAGCATTTTGAGTGGGTCGTGATGCCATTCGGCCTCACCAATGGCCCGGCAACCTTCCAAGCAGCTATGACGATCGAGTTTCGGGATCTGCTTCACCGCACTGTACTCGTTTACCTCAATGACATCTTGGCTTTTAGTCGGACGTTCGACAAGCATCTCGAACACCTTCACGCTGTCTTAGAAAGGCTTTGCACGGCCAAGTGCAAAGCAAATCCGACAAGTGCGAATTCGCACAGCACGAGCTTGAGTATTTGGGCCACTATGTTACGCCGCATAGTGGTACGGGGTTCCGGCCAATCCACGATGGCTTGGATCTTGTCCGCTAAGGGACGGACGCTCATTCATGGGTCTGGCTGGATATTACCAACGTTTTGTCAATTCTTACTCCAAAGTTGTTGCACCTTTGTCGAGGCTTCAATCTCTGAAGGTGCCCTTCGAGTTCGACGACGCAGCCCGGACTGCATTCCAGGCGTTAAAGGACGGGATGCTATGCGCTCCCGCCCTCTGCATTTATGATCCTACCTCACGTACCTGAGTGACTACAGACGCTTCCGGATACGGCATTGGTGCGATATTGGAACAACACGACGGCGATGATTGGCACTCGGTCGAACGCTTCTCCCAAAAGGTGCCTCTCGTAGATTCTCTGGATGAGGCTAGGAAAAAAGAGTTGCTGGCTTTCGTCATCGTTGTCAAACGATGGCAACACTTCCTTCTCGGGCGTCGGCGTTTTACATCTGTCTCTTATACACATCTAGATGTGTATAAGAGACAGACACAGGACACGGTCACAAGCACGATCGGTCGATCAATATATTTCATTGACCAATTCGACTTCGGCCCCGTTCATATTCCAGGCCCCACCAATCAATCAGCGGATGCACTATTACCGTGACGCGATTTGTGTGCCTTGGTGCCTTCTACTTTTCAGCTCGACGACAATTTGCAGCAGCACTTTGTCAATTATAACAAGTCTGACCCGTAGGAGTTAATCTGGTCTTAGAACTCAGGATTTAGGGTTTAGGGTGACACTGCCAAAAATAAATGAGTGGACACAAATATTGTGAAGGCTATACAACCTACTAAATCTCAAGTGAAATGGCATAACAGATGTCTTCATACTAGTTCATAGGTATTCGGGACCACCTTCCGAAATCATACGGGCAAGGATTTTGCAAGTTAGGTAGGGCCAATGAATAACAACCGGAGAATCACTACCGTCTTCACCCAAATAAAATGTACTATAAGTATAGCTGTGTTTGGGGCAACTTTGAGTCTAGATACAACAATAATGACCATACAGTGTTGTATTCGGGTGAGGACGGTAGCTAAGCACAAGGAACTTGACCAGTCTGGCAGAGTCCGGAATCCAGAGGTCGTAGGAATCTCGACACCGGTAGGCATCTTAACAGTGCTAGAAGTCGCAAAAGCGGTCGGAGTCCGCTAAATAATATGCAAAAGAATCACCAAAATATACCCAAAAAAAAACATTTTGCTGAACGGTCACCGTGAGTGAGTTCCACTTGTATGCACCTGCCCTAGTGTTGGGGGTTGGGGGTTGTTTTACCTTCCTTTTTAGGTGTATTTTGGCCAATTCTTTTGCATATTATTTAATTTTATGCCCTATTAATGTACAGCCTTGGTCGATTGCCTATCACGGTCACCGTGAGTGGTAGAAGTCGCAAAAGCGGTCAGAGGCTGCACAACGCTTAGAGCCAGTGCACACACCAAGGCTGTACATAAATAAGGATATAAATAACATGCAAAAAAATGCCAAAAATATACCCAAAAAAAACATTTTGCTGAACGGTCACCGCGAGTGAGTTCCACTTGTATGCACCCACCCTAGTGTTGGGGGTTGGGGTTTGTTTTACCTTCCTTTTTAGGTATATTTTGGCCAATTCTTTCGAATATTATTTATGCCCTATTAATGTACAGCCTTGGTCAATTACATATTAGAGTCCGCCCAATCAACACTAATTTGGGGGTGCCTACCTCGTAGGGTGATACGGGGTGGACAAACTCATCAGTCGTGCCCGTCTCAAACTGTTAGGTTGGATAACTCCCCTCTCAATTAATGGCTTTCCTCCCCTTCAAGAATCTTAGAACCCTAAAGGGCCTAGACCCTAGACCCTAAAAATAGCCCTAAACCCTAAAAATAGCCCTAGACCCTAAAAATAGCCCTAGACCTTAAAAATAGCCCTGGAACCCTTTAGGGTCTAGGAGCTAGGGCCTAACCCCTAGACCCATCGCCCCCACCGCGCCTGGCTCAAGAACCAGCCGAGGAATCTCTAAATGCTTTGCCAAGAAACTGCCCGAGTTTAAGAAAGAAAGCACAAAGGATTTTTTGTAATAGCTTGAGAAGCAGCAGTTCTACTGGAAATGCCTTGGTCTAACTCACAGCTCTTATCTCCAGGGAGGTTTGTGTTCCTCAACTTGAAACGTAATGCAGGAAACCCGAAGACACTCAATTCGTGCATCAGGGATCGCGGGATATTGAAAGTAACAATAGAGTGAATTGGAGTGGGTTCGAAAAGTGACCATGGAGTGAATTTGTAAAGTAACCATGGCGTGAGTTTGAAACGTAACCATGTAGTGTTTTTCAAGTTACCATGGAGTGAGTTTGAAAAGTAACCATGGAGTGAGTTTGAAAAGTAACCATGGAGTGACTTTCAAGTTATCATGGAGTAAATGTGAAGTAACCATGGAGTTCATAATAAACCAAGTTTTGACTTGCCCGTGTGGTTGAGAAACGGTGAACGCACACAATTATTAGTAAACAGATGATGTGTTCGAATCCCGATGGAACCAGATGGATGTGATGATATGAGTAAACAGGACCAAGTCTTCAGAGTCTGAACCTTGGACCAACCATGGATTTTTAACCAACCATAGAGTTTCAAGTAATCATGCAGTATGGCCTAACCACCACAAGCGATTGGTTCATTGATTCAGTCCTGAGCAACATTGTGACAGTGTGACAGTGTGACAAGCTGATGGGTTGACGGCATAACAGGGTGGAAGGGTGGAAGGGTGGCAGGGTGACAATGTGGCAGTGTGACATGTGACAATCTGACAATGTGACAGTGTGACAGTGTGACAGTGTGACCGTGTGAAGATCCACAACCTTCCTGTTAAGGCTACCTAAGGATAACCTGAGCTATCATCGACATCGAAAACACACCTTTCCATGTTCTAGCTGAAGATTCATTTTGCATATTTGGTGACTGAGGGATCCGTTGAAAAGGTAGGTTGGGAATTACCTGCAGCGAACCTGTCAGAATTAGGGCCTCGCTCCACTAACCACATGAACAAAAGACAAAAAAAAAATGCCGGTGTACCTTTCCATGTCCTAGCAGAAGTTTCTTTCTCATTTTGCACATCTGGATTTGGTGAGTACTGGAGGGAGGAAGTTAGAAATACTCACACTACGACTTTTGAACTTATCTATGGACAGAACTGCGGTCACATACATCCATTTCGGGCTGTAAGGAAGTCAGATACATTAAGCTCACGCTAGTGTGAGTAACCCCTGGTGAGAATGGGCCTGACCGTGTTCACGAGCAGGCCAGTCAGTTGAATGATGACATCTCAAGGCCGCAGAAACGACAAAAACAAAAAGGAAAAACTATGGGCCTATCGGACTAAACAAAATTACTTGGGTCAAGAACCCATACTGTCCGTTGATAAGGGCATTTTGTTCGGTCCGATAGTCTCAGCACAAGGGCATCGTCACACAACGAAATGAAAACGACTCGTTTCTCTCTCTCTCTCTCTCTCTCTCTCTCTCTCTCTCTCTCTCTCTCTCTCTCTCTCTC